TTTGCGTCTGGCATTGCGGCGTTGTCAGATTTTATTTTACTTTAAAGTCGCTTTTTTCTAAAAAATGCCGTTTTGACCCCCATGTTATATGAAACTCTTTGCTTCTTTTATATATACTAAGTGACATATAAATCCGAACACCCAGTTTAAATGGTTTTATTTTAATAAAATTTTGTATTTTGTATATATATATATATATATATATATAGGTGAAAATTTAAAGCTTCCGCCTTTTGTTGGGTACTTCGACAAAATTTAAGCAAAGAGGAGTCTTTATACTTTTTTTAATTCTCTCTAGCTTTCAATGGACTTTGCCATCATCATCAGGAGCTGCAATTACAATGATAACAGTAGCAACAAAGGTGTAAAATGAATTTAAATTGACTCAACTTACAGTAGTTTGTGAGGATTTGCTAATTGTTGTTTACGTATAGAATGAGGGAAACGTCCAGTAACATGGTGAGAGCTGGATAGATTGTACAATGGTCAAAATTATATAAAATATGACAAGAACAAGTTAAAAACAGATTAAAAATTATTTAAAAAACATTAGAGCATTACATCGTGAAGCCACTTGATGATTGCACAAATTAGTGGTCATGGAATAATGAGTGACATGAAACCCTTTGACAGAAGGCCGAAGGATGTCAATGTCAGTGTTGAAAGATGGAACGGATTGTGGGCGTGTGCCAAACGTTGCCAAATCACTTCAGATGAAGATTTTCAGAATTTTATGTTAGATTTGTTAAACCGACCAGAGGCAGTTGAATAAACTATATTTATTAATGGGAATTTAAATTAACAATTATTAATAAATCGTGAGGAGAGAATTATTATTTTTGAGTGGAATGAAATTTACTGGTGAAATCGGCCAAAACACAGATTCTAATTATGGTTGTGAAGAGTTGAAATTTGGGGAGATATGTAAGTTCTCCAATTTTTCGCAGTTTAGCAAATATGAGTAAATGACACTCAGTTGTTTAACATCTGTCTTTTGTTGAAAAACAAAATCGAGACTCGTCACTAAAGACAATACTGTTCCATTCCTGATCTCGAGTGACCGTTGTCTGCACCACTCAAGGCGATTACGTCGGTGTTCTCAGTTAAAGGGAGGACCCAGTGTGGCCGGTATGAAAACAAGCCAAAACTTCTCATTCGTCGGTAAACACTTCGCATGCCAATAGGTATTCCGTGTTCTGCAAACCATTCATTTGTAATGGACCTGGTAGTGGAGAAACGGTCCCTTAAGGCCAATCACCTTAGGCGGCGATCTTCACGGTCTGTTGTTCTACGGCGGCGTCCAGTGCCCCTTGCTCTTTGCGTACGGCCTTCTCGAAGCCATGCCTGACAACACCTAACCACAGTGTCTACACTTCTTTGCACTCTAACTGCAATTGCCCGAAAAGAAAGTCCAGCTTCCCGAAGTCCCACTATTCTGCCCCTATCAAACTCACTAAGTTGACGAAATCGTACAGGTCTCCGTACTCTAGGCATCGTAACCGATCGTAAAGGATGTCAAGAACCAAAATCCGCCAACGTTGGTTCTTTACTGCGGCTGAAATATTCATTTTTAGAGCGTTAGTGAATTAAAAAAAAGCAGTATAAAAACAGAAATGTCCAACTGATAAGGCTGAAAATTTTTTCACTTGTTATTTACAGTAACATAAATACATTCACCAACTTTTATTAAAATAAAACCATTTAAACCGGGTGTTCGGATTTATATGTCATTTAGTATATAACTATTGTCCCATCTAACACTCCTCCATATGTTTTTGCTCGCGAAAGTCTGCTATGCAGATTGCCACGCCTTTTTTTATAAATAAGAGGAAATGTGTGTGATTCCTCTTTCTTTTTTTAAATTAATTAATAAATGAATAGAATACGATAAATAAAATCAAATGGTGAGTTAATGCAAAACAGCTGTTAAGGGCGTGCAAAATTTTAGCCCAAGCTCAGTAAAGCGGAGAGTAGGGAGCTACGAGCGCCAGTGACAGATCAAGCCCACAAATCCCCGAGATGTTAGTCGGAACTTGTTTTGCTTGACCTCCCACACCAAAGAAAAGAAATCTAACAGTGATGACGTAACCTCATTAACAGTACATGGAGAGCCAATTTAAACAAGATATTACAAAAAATTCACAATATATTCACTCAGCAAATAGCACAATGCTCCGCTACTGGAGTGCAAGTCAAAAAGAAAGGATATTACAAAAAAACTTTGGCACGATGAAATTATTTGACCAAGACGTTTACCATGGTACGCGCTATACAGAAATGTAGCTCACAAGTGCAAGATGCAGACTACCGCTGAAGATGAAAATCCCATAAGAAAATGGACGGGGTAGCACCCAAACCAAAACAACTAAACGTAAGGTACTATATGAAGGGGTACTACTCCACAAAAAGTGATTAAAACAGCTTACGTGATTTTGGCACGTGATGAGATCTAACCTTGCTGATTGGTTTGCAGTGAATTTGTTGACTAAATATAATGGACAAGACACAATCAATAACTGTAAGTTTACGACGTCATCAACTAGAAACTTCTTCAGTAACATTCTTAGGTGTTCATATGGCAGTATTCTGACCTGGGGAGTTCATGCTGATAGTGTTGTTAATAACCCATTCAAAATATACCTATATCATTCGTAACCTGAAGGATCAAGTATCTCATAAAATCTTAATTACAAGTTACCATGCATACTTTCAATCGAAAATGACTTATGGGGTTTTAATACGAGGACACTCCTACCTTATGCAAAGAGTTTTTGCCGTGCATACGCTACATACCACGGATGTCTTTTAGGTTTTGCAGATAGAAACATAGTAGGCCGCGCGGATCGAACGTCAGTACTGAATCTCAACCTCATTCTTTAGTAAACCTAAATTCAAAGTTTCACAAAAATACGTGCAGTGTTCTCACTACCGTGAATTTTTAAGTGTCACCAAGTCATTAGAAAAATGGAACTCAACCGAGAATATTTTTTACAACTTTCAGAGACAATTATCGCAACAAGAATGCCTTGCCGAGTTACTGTCTGTTTTCGGCAACGAAGCGCCACATCAGTCGACAATGATCACATATTTTCTAAAAAACACGCTTTTGAGGCTAGGAGCTCCTAGAGGCGATGTACCTTAAGTTGGATTGAGCCAGATTCGGATACCTTTGGGGACAATTTTCATATGTAGTTTCGCCTACAACTACTTGTAGTTATGAGAATTTTTAAACATAATGAATTGGATAACATTTCGCAGTACTGTCGAACATCTATTTTCCATCGTTGCAAATACTTGTTGAATTGGTAACGGTATTTTCTTGACTATTTTCCTCGACTTGATTCCTACCAATCTCAGACGCGTAAATTTGAATTACAAATGGTTTCTATATGGAAAAATTGTATGACAGCACCTGTCAGCAGTTTTTTCGAGTCAAAAAATAATTATGTTCTAGGCTACCAGAAAGCGACGCTAATAACTTTTTCTGCTTTTATTGTCAATTAATTTTGTAAGCGATGAATAATCTGTTGCTCATGAAATACTTTTGCCAAATACCGTTCGGACATCTAATTTTTTCCTGTGACAAAATCGAAAAAACACAATGCAAAGTAATATTTTTTTTTAACAAAAAACATTATGCAGGTGCAAAAATCCTCGTCTTCGACCCGAATTTTTGTTGCTACCAGCACTCGCTTTTGTTAAAATATTACTTAGAAACGTGTTTTTACCTTTTTTTCTGAAAACAGATACCCTTATGATATTACAGGGTTTGTCCGGAAAGTAATAGGACTGAGACGATTTAAAAAAAATTATTGAGCCAATCGTTACAATGCTTTAAAAACTTTCAAAATAGGCTCCTTCTGCGTCGATGCGGCGCTGCCAGCGCGATTTCCAAGCATCGAAGGCGTCACGGAAGACATTCTCCGGTATAGCCGCGGTGCATGCTGCTTGGATCCCACCTGTCGTCTCAAAATGCTTGCCTTTCATCGGCCTTTTCAGGCAAAAAAAAGTCCGGGGTGGCACACCTGGGCTGTAGGGCGGCTGGGGAAGCGTTGGGATGCCGGCCTTGGTCAGGTAGCTGTTCACAAGAAAGGCGGTGTGAGCCGGGGCGTTGTCGTGGTGCACTTCCAGTCGGCTGCGATGTCTTGTCGACCCGACTGACCCTTCGATTGAGTCTCCTGAGCACTTCCACGTAAAACTTGGTGTTGACGGTTTGTCCAGGAGGAACAAATCCATGGTGGACGATGCCTTTGATGTCAATAAAGACAATGAGCATCATTTTCACTTTGGATTTGCGCATTCTTTCCCTTTTTTGGGCGAGGACACGCCGTCGTGTGCCACTCGGAAGATTGCCTCTTTGTCTCGGGATCATACTTAAAGATTCACGACTCGTCACCTGTGATTACGTTATTCAAAATTGAGGGTCACTTTCACACTTGTTCAAATTTTCTTGGCACACTTTCACTTGCCGCAATTTCTGGTCACACCTTGCGGATGTTCAAATGCTGTGTCACAATGCCATGAACCACAGATTTTGGTAAATTTAACAACTGGCCAATTAAACGAATACTTGGTCGACGGTCTGAGTTTCAAAACTTTGCGCACACGAGTCACATTATCGGTGTTTGTCGAAGTCGAAGGTCTTCATCAGCGACCTCTTCCCGGCCCTCCAAAAAGTCCTGGTGCCACCGAAACACACCACTTCTTGCTAAAGCAACACCTGGGTAATCCTGCTTGATCATATCAAACGTCTCTGTCGCAGATTTACCGAGTTTCACACAGAATTTAATCGCGTACCTCTGCTCTAACGAACGCTGCATTTTCGGCTTGCACCATTCACAGAAACACGTCCTGTCTTGACTCTCCAAGTGCTCGGAGACAACTGACCATCCGCCACAGTCATGGCGGAAGAAAATAAGTCCTATTACATTCCGGACAAACCCTGTACTTACGATAAAAATCAATGCTTACCGTGCAAGCGTCCAGCTGATCGCCACCACCAGCACACAACTCAAATTTAAGATCTAACAGATCGCTGGCTTTCGGCCCCAAGTTTTTTACGTATGACGCTTCGCAATCCTTTTTCGTGTCAACGATAGGTAGATGAACTTGCTTCAGGAACGGCGTTGGTGCGTTGTAGTCCGTAAACTCTTGCTGGCCGTAACCTGTCACCAAGCATTCGGTCCTAAAAGTGTCACTGAGCTTGAAAATAGTTCGGGTGAACTTTTCAGTATATTCATATGCATACAGCGCGCCAATAAGGTGTCTGGCCAAACTCCAAGGGGTGATTTATTGAGCGGTTCTAAGAGGAAATGTATATATACGTATAGGATGTCCAAACAGTGCGAGGACGAACAGTTTTCAATTATACTCGCTGTCCTAATTTTGACCCACATATCAAAGTTGATTTCTATCGAATGGAAAATACACTACTTTTTATTACACATCCTGATTGGCCGTCTTAAAGGTACGAGATTGCTATAACATACTTATGGCTTTCGGTTATAAGTTGAGCTAGTTAGTATTTTATATGAAAAGTATCACAGTTCGACAATCTGAATGTCTGCTTTGTTGACAGGTGGAGGTGTGTAGTTTTTTTTTGTTTTACCCAAATGTGTCCTAATTCAACCTCTTTTCGAATATGAATGAACAATACGGGGTTGCCAAGAGGCAAGTTATACTTCGTCGCAAAGAAATTATATGGACCACCTTGTATATTTTTACACTATCGGTTAGTCCAAAAGGTTTATAGCGTTATAGCTATTTGTTTCAAAAACTGGAAATTTCTCTATTCAAACAAGTCGTATGATCCTTGAAAACAACAAAACAAGTAAAGGCTTATTGACAATATGTCTATAACACCAGGCTTCCATCAAGAAACCAACTATACTAAGTGACATATAAATCCGAACACCCAGTTTAAATGGTTTTATTTTAATAAAATTTTGTATAAATACTTAATGAAGCATAATAAGTAAATGATAAAAATTTCAAAATGATTGCACTGCTTTAAAGCCCTTTGACCTTTAATAATGTGTGGATGCACCCTGATGTGCTACGCATTCTCCAACGCGCCTAGGCATGCTTCTGATCAGGTGCTCCATGTCCTCCTGTGGTATCTCATTCCAGGCAACCACCAACTCCTCTCGAAGTGCTTCTAGAGTCTGAGGAGGACGTTGCAAATTGAGCAATCTCCTACCCATCATATCCCACACGTGCTCAATTGGGGATAAGTCAGGAGATCTTGGTGGCCATGGTAACAATGTGACATCATTATGTTTAAAGAAGTCTATTGTGACTCTTGCAACATGTGGTCAGGCATTATCTTGTTGGAAAGTTGGATCTGCCAGGGTGTCAAGATAGGGTAAAAGATGGGGTTCTAGAACTTCGTGGATATAACGCTGCGCGTTCATGTTACCTCTGATGAAGATTAAAGGTGACCTGGAACCATAAGCTATAGCACCTCAAACCATAACTCCAACAGTGTGATGAACATGTCTTTCAACAAAAAACTGTGGATTCCTCCTTTCACCACGTCGCCTTCTAACCCTGGCATGACCATCGTGCATGCCTAAACAAAATCGAGACTCGTCACTAAAGACAATACTGTTCCATTCCTGATCCCAGAGTGACCGTTGTCTGCACCACTCAAGGCGATTACGTCGGTGTTCTCGAGTTAAAGGGAGGACCCAGTGTGGCCAGTATGAAAACAAGCCAAAACTTCTCATTCGTCGGTAAACACTTCGCATGCCAATAGGTCTTCCGTGTTCTGCAAACCATTCATTTGCAATGGACCTGGTAGTGGAGAAACGGTCCCTTAAGGCCAATAATCTTAGGCGGCGATCTTCACGGTCTGTTGTTCTACGGCGGCGTCCAGTGCCCCTTGCTCTTTGCGTACGGCCTTCTCGAAGCCATGCCTGACAACACCTAACCACAGTGCTTTGCATTCTAACTGCAATTGCCCGAAAAGAAAGTCCAGCTTCCCGAAGTCCCACTATACGGCCCCTATCAAACTCAATAAGTTGACGAAATCGTACAGGTCTCCGTACTCTAGGCATCGTAACCGATCGTAAAGGATGTCAAGAACCAAAATCCGCCAACGTTGATTCTTTACTGCGGCTGAAATATTCATTTTTAGAGCGATAGTGAATTAAAAAAAGCAGTATAAAAACCGGAATGTCCTACTGATAAGGCTGAAAATTTTTTCACTTGTTATTTATAGTAAGATAAATACATTCACCAACTTTTATTAAAATAAAATTAAAATGGGTGTTCGGATTTATATGTCACTTAGTATATTTCAATGCTTTTGTACTGTCCATTCATTATTACAGGTTGATATAATACTGTAACATTAATTTTTTGAGATGTCTGAAACTGGCGCCAATAGGTAAACATAACTAAAATTTTAGCTATTTGTACTACTTTAGAAAATGTTGATGTTGAACATGCAAAATCTTCGATTAAAAGGACTTTTACGTGGGCGTTTAGTAACTACATATTTTTTGTCGAGGCCTTAAATAAATTGCATTCCTTTTTTAATTGTTGTAAATCAAAAATGTGATTTACTGCTTTTATACTCTGCAAAACAGAGTTACTGCCTTTTTTCGTAGTTTTCATTGTCTATATTATTTTTTCAAAGCAAACACGCAGTAATGCAGAATTTTTCATTTTCATATAATATGTTCCTATTGAAATTCACATACCACAAAAGTAAACTCTTTCTCATAAAAATTCAATTCAATAATTACATGATTATATTAAATAATTACATGGAACAAAAATGGTTATATTAACAAAAAAAATATTTTTCATAATTATTCTTTCGGAGAAAAGTAATTATTTATAACCATAAATACTTATTCCCAAATATATATATATATATATATATATATATATATATGTATAGTTTCCGCCTTTTGTTCGGTACTTCGACAAAATTTAAGCAAAGAGGACTCTTTATACTTTTTTTAATTCTCTCTTAGCTTTCAGTGGGCTTTGCCATCATCATCAGGAGCTGCAATTACAATGATAACAGTAGCAACAAAAGTGTAAAATGAATTTAAATTGACTCAACTTACAGTAGTATGTGAGGATGTTGCTAATTGTTGTTTACGTATAGGATGAGGGAAACGTCCAGTAACATGGTGAGAGCTGGATAGATTGTACAATGGTCAAAATTATATAAAATATGACAAGAACAAGTTAAAAACAGATTAAAAATTATTTAAAAAACATTAGAGCATTACATCGTGAAGCCACTTGATGATTGCACAAATTAGTGGTCATGGAATAATGAGTGAGATGAAACCCTTTGACAGAAGGCCGAAGGATGTCAATGTCTGTGTTGAAAGATGGAACGAATTGTGGGCGTGTGCCAAACGTTGCCAAATCACTTCAGATGATGTGATTTTCAGAATTTTATGTAAGAATTTGTTAAACCGACCAGAGGCAGTTGAATAAACTATATTTAATTAATGGGAATTTAGATTAACAATTATTAATAAATTGTGAGAAGAGAATTATTATATTTTGAGTGGAATGAAATTTACTGGTGGAATCGGCCAAACACAGTTTCTATTTATGGTTGTGAAGAGTCGAAATTTGGGGAGATATGTAAGTTCTCCAATTTTTCGCAGTTTAGCAAATATGAGTAAATTAATTTTTCACCTAACTGGTCTAGACGATAATGACCACGTCTCAAGTTATATATGTATATATAGAGAAAATTATCATGCGGAGAAAGGTATATAACAAAAATAGGAAAATAATGGGCAAAATCCGCAAAAAGTGGATTCGAGCAGAAAATAGGATAGGTAACCCGAGCGATACGATTTCTGCTGGTTGGCTTCATCAGGCCCGAAATGAATGCACGTATGCAACTTTGTAGATCCTTTGGGCTTGAAGTACCACAGCAAGTGGCTATAACCGGCCGCGTGGTTGTGGTTATTTGTCGCCTTGAAAATTCGAGGTCTTCTAGCCATTTTATAATACAATGTGTGGGTTGGCTCTTGTTGTGGACTTCGTGTGTCGTTTTTCCTCTCCATCCTCGTTTCCTCAGGTTACACCCGTATCCGGATGTGTGGGCATGTGTATCTACTTTTGTAGTTGCATATGTGCGTTCATTTCGGGCCTGATTTTGCCCATTATTTTCCTATTTTTGTTATATATATATATATATATTTTAGGTGAAAAATTAAAGCTTCCGCCTTTGTTGGGTACTTCGACAAAATTTAAGCAAAGAGGACTCTTTATACTTTTTTTAATTCTCTCTAGCTTTCAAAGGACTTTTCCATCATCATCAGGAGAGTAGTATGTGAGGATGTTGCTAATTGTTGTTTTCGTATAGGATGAGGGAAACGTCCAGTAACATGGTGAGAGCTGGATACATGGTACAATGGTTAAAATTATATAAAATATGACAAGACAAGTTAAAGACAGATTAAAATTGAATTTTTTTAATTAATATGAAATATTTGACAAGGTGGGAAAATAACATATTTTTGTTCAACCACATGATCTTTGATATATTTGTAATTGTAATCATAAAAGAAATGTATTAGGGCCAAATTTGAAAATGGCAGTAAATAAACACCACTACCTTTTACCTAAGTAGGGCGGTATAGACAATTTACTTTGTATTTTGGTAATCCTTGTCAGCTGGCGGGGGTACAAACCAAATTTATATTTCCTCCCATGTTCACGTTCGTTTCCAATCTAAGCAAAGCGATGTCATCCTTCAACGTTGACTGGTTGTAGTTTTTGTGGACATACATCGAAGTCACCTTGAACTTTTGACATTTGTCCAGTTCTGCTTTTGTCGTTTGATGTGCGCCTAAAATAACGTTGACAGCCGTTCTGGAATTATATGAAACCATGAAGACTAGAGATAGGAGGTTAAACTTATGGTGTAGGGGTGAAGCCGAAAATGTCGACGATGAAGTAAAAGTTGTTATACTGAGCAGGAAATGAATTTAAGGATAAGCGCACGTGGGCATCTCTCTGGGTTGCTGTCATCACGATTGTAAACAACTCTAATTTTGACATTTCGGACGAGTTTACAAGCAGAAATATTAGATAATATACTAAGTGACATATAAATCCGAACACCCAGTTTAAATAGTTTTATTTTAATAAAATTTTGTATAAGTACTTAATGAAGCATAATAAGTAAATGCTAAAAAATTTCAAGATGATTGCACTGCTTTAAAGCCCTTTGACCTTTAATAATGTGTGGATGCACCCTGATGTGCTACGAATTCTCCAACGCGCATAGGCATGCTTCTGATCAGGTGGTCAATGTCCTCCTGTGGTATCTCATTTCAGGCAACCACCAAGTCCTCTCGAAGTGCTTCTAGAGTCTGAGGAGGACGTGCAAATTGAGCAATCTCCTACCCATCATATCCCACACGTGCTCAATTGGGGATAAGTCGGGAGATCTTGGTGGCCATGGTAACAATGTGACATCATTATGTTGAAAGAAGTCTATTGTGACTCTTGCAACATGTGGTCGGGCATTATCTTGTTGGAAAGTTGGATCTGCCAGGGTGTCAAGATAGGGTAAAAGATGGGGTTCTAGAACTTCGTGGATATAACGCTGCGCTTTCGGGTTACCTCTGATGAAGATTAAAGGTGACCTGGAACCATAAGCTATAGCACCCCAAACCATAACTCCAACAGTGTGATGAACATGCCCTTCAACAAAAAACTGTGGATTCCTCCTTTCACCACGTCGCCTTCTAACCCTGGCACGACCATCGTGCATGCCTAAACAAATCGAGACTCGTCACTAAGACAATACTGTTCCATTCCTGATCCCAGAGTGACCGTTGTCTGCACCACTCAAGGCGATTACGTCCGTGTTCTCGAGTTAAAGGGAGGACCCAGTGTGGCCGGTATGAAAACAAGCCAAAACTTCTCATTTGTCGGTAAACACTTCGCATGCCAATAGGTCTTCCCTGTTCTGCAAACCATTCATTTGCAATGGACCTGGTAGTGGAGAAACGGTCCCTTAAGGCCAATAATCTTAGGCGGCGATCTTCACGGTCTGTTGTTCTACGGCGGCGTCCAGTGCCCCTTGCTCTTTGCGTACGGCCTTCTCGAAGCCATGCCTGACAACACCTAACCACAGTGTCTACACTTCTTTGCACTCTAACTGCAATTGCCCGAAAAGACAGTCCAGCTTTCCGAAAGTCCCACTATACGGCCCCTATCAAACTCACTAAGTTGACGAAATCGTACAAGTCTCCGTACTCTAGGCATCGTAACCGATCGTAAAGGTTGTCAAGAACCAAAATCCGCCAACGTTGATTCTTTACTGCGGCTGAAATATTCATTTTTAGAGCGTTAGTGAATTAAAAAAAAGCAGTATAAAACCGGAATGTCCAACTGATAAGGCTGAAAATTTTTTCACTGGTTATTTACAGTAAGATAAATACATTCACCAAGTTTTATTAAAATAATACCATTTAAACTGGGTGTTCGGATTTATATGTCACTTAGTATATTAATGAAGTATGAGGTAATAAACCTACAAAGAATTAGGTTTTTTCGCGTTGACTTTGAAAAATTGTTCGAGGTTGCAATTCATTTTCAATGCCGCCAAAAACCAAGGAAAGAACTTGTAGAGAATCAGCAACTGAGTATGTAACGGTTTCACCGTCCGATCGTATTTATTAAATCACTTCTCGATTATCATTTCATTAATCCCATCTCTAGCTTTTTTGCTTGGAAAATTTTCCGCTTGGAGCGCTTGATGCGGAGTTCCTGATCTGCGATCTTCCTCGCGCTTCCTTTTCACCTGAGCCGCCGATCGAACAACGGCTAGAAATTCTTCTCAGTAGCACAAGGTTATATAGCACCATGTGCTAGAATTTTCTAGAATGTGTGTCCGTATAGGACAAAAATGATTGGGGCCACCCCCTTTCTCTTTCCCTTTCACTTTGCCTAGCCTTGGCCAATATTTTCACCCATGCATGTACCTTGCAGCGCCATCGCCTTTTAACTTCGCCTACAACCGGTTGTAAGCCACTATATGGAGGTCACCCCTCATAACTGGGACCTCCACTTCAAGCACCTGGCCATCCTCGCTTCAGTCCAGTCAAAATGGACCAGCGAAAGATAAGTCGATAGCGTTATGGCAGCGCCAAAGATGTAAAACTTATTTTGTTATTTTTGTAAAATTGTAATGTAATGAAACTGCCTTTTTTTTTGTTAAATAAAATCTGTTAAATTTTTGTGTTCTGTTAGTTCTTCTATCCTCTAGCCATGCCATGGTCGACACACAGCTACACGCCTGTAGATGTCTTCATGCCACCGACTGAGCTACCGGAAGCAAATTGTAACCCCCTTTCGTTGATTGTGCAGAAAAGTTGGAATCTTCATTGCATTCCATCTTTTCTGTACTTTTTGCGGAAAGGAAGCGTTACAAGTATGAGCACATGGTTATGAAAACGCGATTAATTGGTACGGGTGATGAAGTATTGTTATTGCGAAAAAATTATGAAATGACATATGGTTTTTAGATGTTATATGACAACTAACAATAAGAGGTACTGTATCTGGGAACCTATCCACGGTAGACGCTTGCGGCGAAAAAGGTACTAAAACGGTAAAGAGAAAAAATCTGGAAAGCACTTTCAAGTTTCTGAAATGGGTGTGTAACTGCAATCTTGAATCCAAAAAAGTGATGTTTTTGTGAATTCCGCCATATTAACCAAACAACATCGAAGATAAAATTTGTTTTACAAACATCTGCGGGATTAACAGCAACATTGATGCTGTTCATCACTACCTGCAAACCAATCGTCCCGCCATGCTTGTCTTGGCGGAGACAAAAATCTCAGAGTCTGCACAGATTAACCATCTTAACTTCCCAAACTACGAGGTGCACTACAGGTTTGAGAAAGAAACGGGGGAGTTTTGGCTTTTGTCCGCCGCAGTCTTCCCTGCTCCAAGACCGGAAGGACATTCTGTGGCTTCGCCTCAACTCCAAAACATCAGCCAATTTATTTGCTGCCTTTATCGCTCTCCATCGGACCATAACTGGGATGACCTACTTGAATATCTCACTGTCAAGATCGACTTCTGAACATCAATCACCCCGCTTCAGAGGAAGTTCTTCTCGGTGACTTCAATGCCTATAATGAGCTTTGGTTGGGCTCAAACAAGACTGATGCAGCAGGTCGTGCAGTCGAAGCGTTCGCTCTTACTCAAGGGCTGACTCAGCTGGTGACGAGCCCTACTTTTTGGATCTCTTCTGACCACGCATCCTGTCCCTTACAGCACTGCTGTCCTGTCTCCCCTGGGTAACTCAGACCACGGTGTTGTGGAGGTTATTTTTCGGTCAGAACCCGCTGTGGCAGCAGAAACTCGTACAGGCCTCAAAACTTGGCATTACGGACATGCCGACTGGAAGGGGCTCAGAGACTTCTTCTCTAGCTTTCCTTGGAGAGATGTCTGTTTCACTGACGTGGATGCGTCGGCTGTCTGTTCTTTGATAACCGAAATTATCCACGTCGGAAATCGAGGAATACATCCCTCACACAGGGTTCAACGGCTGCTCGTCGAAGATCAAGGCACACTGAACCTTCTTACAAAACCTCACTGCAGAGAACAGACAAGGCCGACGTCGAGCCCAGAAAAAAATATAACGAAGCGGTTCGCAATGGCAAAAACCAGCACTATATAAAAGTTAGGCACAGGGTAATGTCGCAGCGCAATGACAGTCGGTCTTTCTGGACGCTGGGCCAAGCAGATTGAAAAGAATTTCTCACACAGTAGCCTTCCACCACTTGCGTGTCAGGATGGAACGATTTAACTCAAAGGCCAAGGCGAAAGTGCTAGTCAGATCTTTGGTGCCAACTCCATGGACGTCCCCCAACGCCCAAGTGCCATCAATTCAAAGGGTTCCCTACACTATGCGGGAGGTAACATCAGGCATAAGACCGTAAGACGAGTAAGCTCTTGTCGCTCGACATCACCAAAGTTTCTGGTCCGGACTTGATTCCTGCCAGATATCTTATGAATCCGGCACCTTCCCAGAAAATTGGAAATTTGCTCATGTCCAACCCATCCCAAAAAAAGGATCTAAGACCGGACCCTTACAACTACAGGCCTATAGCTCTGCTTTCTGTTATAAGTAAGGTCATGGAGGTGCATAAGTCGCGAGCGTCTGGACTACCTCTAACGTCACAGCTGATTAGCGACAGGCAGTATGGTTTCCGGCACCAACGATCCACAGGGGACCTCCCTAGCTTACGTCACGCAATTGTGGAGTAAAACTCATCCAGTCTTATGGTGAGGCTCGTGTCGTTGCTCGTGACATCACGAAAGCGTTCGATCAGCTGTGGCACGCTGCCCTCTTAAGCAAACTTCCATCATATGGCCTCGCAGAAAAGCGGTGCAGAAGGGTGGCCGACTTTATCTCTGACCGCAAGATATCCGTCGTAATTGACGGTTCTCCTCTTCATCCCCACAACGTCAACGCGGGGTGTTCCCCAGGGATCGGTCTTGGCTCCGACACTGTTTCTCTTACATATCAACGACCTCCTTTCCTGCACGATCAACCCAATCCACAGCTTCGCTGATGATAGCACTCTACATGCAGGAATTCAGAATGACAACCCGATCTCCGCGCTGAGCTGGAAAAAAGAAGACTAGCGACGACTTCCTCTCTGACAAGAGACGAGGAGGCTATCACTGCTTAGGGGCGCAACAATCTTGTACAGTTTACTTCTATAATGTCGCCGCGCGATGTCCCTGCAGACAGACCTGCCTAACTTTGGCGTCCCATCATAACCGTGTCGATTTTCGTACATCCAGAACTGGGCGATACGACCGCTCCTTTGTCCCGAGAGTGTCGAGACTGTGGAACAATTCTACAAGAGGAAGCTTTTCCCAGTTTTACTAACCTTAGGCAGTTTAAAAATCATATTAACAAAATTTCTTTGGACCATCATAGCAGCCGCGGTGTTCCCGGCATTTAGGCTTCTGCCTGCGCGGCTGCTTTGATATAAAAAAGCCCTACGAGACCGTTTGCTATTACGCGTCGAATCGCTGACCAATGATTTGGAGAAGAAGGTGTTTTACTATGCGTACATTCTATCGCCACATTCGAGCCTTTGGACTTTTTTCATACCGTCCACGGTTAGTGCTTCCTCTGACTGCGGACCACTGTCGGCAACGTTTGAACTGGAGCAGAGAACGGCAATATTGGGACGCAGAATGGCATAATATCATCTTCAACGACGAATCGCGATTCTGTCTAGGTGCGCACGATGGTCGTAGAAGGGAAGACGCCGCAGTGGGGAACGGCGTGATTTGCTGTTAACACGACTGTTGGAGTAATGGTTTGAGGGGCTATTGCCTATGGTAGCCTTTCTAGAGGGCCGCCCATAGTCCTGTTTCAGCAAGACAACGCACGTCCTCATATTGCTCGTCGTACTATGGACTTTCTTCAGAAGTAGCCGTTAATATTTTGCGTGGCCACCCCGTCAAACGGATTTAAATCCCATCGAACGTGTGAGAGGTATGATGGGTAGGAGACTATCCACTTTGCACCATCCGCCACAGACTCTGCCACAGCTAATCCACGAAGTTCGAGTTGCTTGGAATGAGATGCCACAACCAGACATCGATCATCTCATTTTGTCGATGCCTAGACGTATACAGGAGTGTATTCAGCTGCGGGGTCGCCTAACACAACAATTTTTTTCTTATTGTCAATGAAAGTTCGTTTCATTCATGATGTAAGACTTCCTCATTGCCGAAAAAATCAAGTTGAAGACAATGTGGGAGAGTAAAATTAACTTACATATTTGTGATCTTGTGCGCGGCAGTGAGCACGAATTCTTGATCGACCAGAAACTCCACCTCCTGCATATCCGTTCGCGGTATTGGCCTTGGCTGCGTCGTTTTGCAGGAACGCGTGCCACGGAAAGGCTCCCTTTGTGGCTTCGCCGTCTTTGGCGTCAGGCTGCAGATTGCCGGCTGCTACGCCGCACTTCGGCTTCAAGCAGATCAGGTAGCCTGCCGGGCAAACTGGCTGGGGGCTGGAAGGTGTTTGAGGATCATAAGTGTCAAGCCAATGTTGCAAAAATCAGTATTTTTTTTTGAAAAAAGCAATTAAGCTGATTCGTTTGATTAAATCGTGTTTTTTTTATTTCCATCAGTTGTAGTGAGGTTTATCTCCCACTCCTACTAGCGATGAAGTACAGCAGACGCTCGATAATGTAAACTAATTTAATCCAAGTGTGGTTCACATTATCGAAATGTTTACATTAGCGAACGTGATTTATATAATATTTGATTTATTAAAATAAACGTTTAATACATACTATTTATAACAAAATAAACAAATATTCTAACAGCGATAAGTATTTTTTTAATAAGAAGAAAAAATAATTAAACAATTTTTGTCTGCGTAAATTTGCGCTTAGCATTGTCTTCCAATGCCTGCGCCCGTAATTACGAAGAACTGGAATATCCGTGTATGAAACTTCTTTTCTTTCAGCCCAATCTAAAGCTTGGTTAAGAACTTGTATAGCTTGCGCGTCAGTCACTACACTTCTGACTTCAATGGGATCGTTCTCATCATCCTCACTGTCCATATCCTCCTCCTTATCAGCATCATTCGTCTGTTTATCTTCGTTCCATAAATTAATATCAGCAGGAGTACAAACAATGTTGGGATTCACTGTTTTCATTAAATCAACAACGTCCAATGGCACACTCATAACATTATCATTATTGGATCGCAAACGTTCTCTAATTACGCTTAAGGGGAAATCGTCTTCTTCATCATCTTCATTATTGAATAGTTTGCTGGTTAAGTTCATTCCAGGCCCTATGTAAATCTAAAACAGCTTCTCGTAATGTTACTTTTTTAAGTCTCAGATAAGTTTTCATGATTCTTTGATAAGACAGACGAAAGTAGAAACTTCCTATAGTATAGTCTGGTGAGTCTTATTATATTCTGGTCCATCGGTTGAATTAACGGTGTTACGTTGGGCGGCATGTACATGACGAAAATTGACCCATCCCTGCTCGGGAGGATGACTTGGTGCATTATCCAATAGTAATAACGCTTTTATTGGAAGCTTCTGTTGTTTTAGGAAACCTTTTACCTACAAATTGAAAACACATCTTCAATTATGAATAGAGCATTTGTGATAATTGATTGTCATAACAGAGGGATAAAGCACCTCTCCGGACCTCCAATGTATTGCACGTTCTTTGTAAAATTTGAGTTTTCATACGCTTAATTTTACAGATTGTTGCTTTCGATACTCGATATTTTTTTGCTAAATGTGTCACTCCAGTACCTAGTGCAACTTTGTCTATGATTTTCACTTTCTCACTCAACTTTAAACACTTTCTTTTATAGGATGTGGATGCCATAGTCATAAAATATATTAACGCGTGCAATGTATTCACTTAAGTTCAAAAATGAAATACATACGTTCGTATAAACGTATCCTAAACGATCATACGACTGACCGAGTTTGTCGTATTTTATCGCAGAGGTGAATCCCCTACACTCTACATCATAAATCGGGGACTCCCCGACGCCCGACATAAATCATCGAGGCTTCAGCATTTTACCGTCGCGCTGTTTCCGTGCGCCGAGAGTTCTTTACGTTATCGAGCGTACACATTGTTTACGTTATCGCGCGTTCCGTTTGATCCTATAGAACGAAGTTTGTGTTTACATTAGCGCAAGTTTTCATTATCCCGTGTTTACGTTATCGAGCGTCTGCTGTATTGTAATCGAGAATATTTTAGAAAACAAGAGTATTATCTTTTAAGAAATTTTCTACTATGCCAAGGACGCAAAGATTTGTAGTTTTTGAAAATCGGGCCAGTGTCGGCGGATAAAAGGTCAAAAACGAAAGTTCGGTTAACTATAAAAGCGTGTTTTTTTTTAGTTATTTTAAACTATTATTTATTTTTCATTTTTTAGTTTAGTTCGATTTAGCAGTTAGTTTTTTGTGGACAAGTGTTATTGAAAAGACCTACGAATCATTTCGTAATATAATCTTTTCATTTAAAGCTTCACTGTTGCATGGGGTTTTCCGGTTAACTTAGAGCAATCAAGTTCTTCAGTCCGGATACGGTCTAACGATCTCAACTCAGGAATAATGGCAACATTCGCAATGAACAAGGTGATAATGCACTACCTTGAAAAAGTATCTGCCTCCGTTGTGCGGTGCCGAGTGCCCGAACCAACAAAGAGAAAGTCCGAAACTGCACGTATGCGCAGATCGCGCGCTAGCTCTATCTCTCTTACTTCCCTTCAAAGGATCTATAAAAGAACTTACCAATCCTGGTGGTTCTAATAAGGATAATCGAAAATGTTATCAAATTACTGCATTGACATCGGTCCTTGAAACGTGTACGTGTAAGTTTTATATTAAGAAGCAACTGGAAACGTGGCGGTACTAGTTTTTTCTTATGATCAGTTCAGTAATTTTAGGCAGCTCATTAAGAACCAGATCAGTGTTGCCTACTCCGCTTACCGTCCAATCGGTTGAGGATGCCATTGTAATGATCCTAGCAAATTTTGGTCATTTGCCCAGATCAAACAACAGCAATCTAGAATCCCCCAAGGATGACGCTTAACGGCAATGTCTGCGATACGCCTCAGGATAAGTGGACAGTTTTGCTACCTTCTTTTCAACAGTTTTTATCCCGTCTGGTCTACTAGGGTCATCTCCTCCAACAAATACTTCTACCGATATCATTTCTTTAAAAAATATATGTGAAGAGAAAACGTAATTAGGGCTTCGAAAAGATTAAAGAACAAAATGACGTCTGGATGTGATGGTATTCCAAGTTTTTTCGTTAAAGATTGCACTCATAAACTAGCAAAACCGCTGGCTTCCATATTCAACCTAATTCTAAAATCAGAGACATATCCAAATATCTGGAAGACCTCTAAAATATGTCCTATTCACAAAAGTGGAGATATTCCTGACATTTTCCAACTATCGCCAAATAGCAATCCTGTGCAGCAAGTTGTTTGAGATCATCGCTTATGAAACGGTTTACTGCTCGGTCAGGGGTGCAGTCTCTATTAATGAGCATCGGTTTATGAGAGACAGATCTACGGTCACCAACTTTTCTCTAATTACTCAGTACATTTCTGAAGTACTGGACGGTCAGGGACAAGTTGATGTCATCTACACAGATATTCAGAAGGCGTTTGATCAAGTTGATCATTATGCACTTCTGGATAACCTTACAACAGTGGGTATGTCTGATGCAAGGATGTCGCTCATGAATTCATATTTGAGGGATAGAAGGTTATTTGTCGAATATGGTGGTCATAGGTCGAGTTACTATCGGGCCACGTCCGGGGTACCTCAAGGGTCAAATCTAGGTCCATTACTGTTTTTGATATTTATTAATGACTTGTCTTTTGAACTGAAGTGTTTCCATTTATTTTTCGCTGATGACCTTAAAATCTGCACGTCAGTCAAGACATTCGAGGATTGCGTCATGTTGCAAGATGACTTAGCTCTAATTTCGTCATGGTGTTCACGAAACTGTCTCAGTCTGAATGTTTCGAAATGTAAAGTTATGACTTATACAAGAAAGGTTAACTATTTAATTCATGATAATTATAACATCAATGGTCAGGTTATAGACAGATGCACCTCTTATATACGTAGAGACCTTGGAGTCACTTTTGATACCAAGCTAACGTTTACTGAGCACATACTCAATATCTCGTCGGCTGCCACTCGACTACTTGGTTTCTGTATCAGAAACTGGAAGGGTTTCTCCAATGTTGATACATTAATGACTTTATTTTTTACTTTTGTCAGGAGCAAGTTGGAGTATGCGACTCTGATCTGGTCTCCTATATACCAAAATTCTGTCGTGATCCTTGAGACCAGTCAACGTAAAGCTCTAAAGTATTTTCACCTTAAATGCACAGGTTTTTATCCAGAAAGAGGTTGTGACCATAGTGCCTTATTAGAGTTTTTCAACTTGGATTCACTGTCAACAAGACGAAACATATTTGCTTTGTCGTTTTTGTATGGCCTCATTCACAATAAAATTGACTGTCAAAATTTACTTGAAAAAATATGTTTCCGCGTTCCAAGGCTAGGGAGTCGACAACAAACGGCATTCTATTGTCAAGCTGGCCGTACAAATGTTATGACAAATCACCTATTAATCTCATGTGCTGCGTCATGAACAGTGTTACTGAATCGTGTGATATTTACAGTGACAGTTGTGCATCGATTATTAACTGCTATAGATCATCCAATCTTATTTAGAGTGTGTGATACTATAGATTTAAGTCCAATAACCATGTCTCTTTAATTGTTATTTTTTTCAGAATTTCCTGTAATTGGGTTTCACCTGTTGGAAATAAATAAATTAATCAAACTTCCAGAAATTGGTGAAAATTATGCTCAAAAATTCCGTTAAATACATACAGGCCGAGCTAATAAAAGCGTGTTGAGTACTTTAGTCATAACTCACAATGTTCTGATTATCCTGCTCACACTGTCACACTATATTTCATTCTTTGCATTATAAATTTGGTTTTACCTTGGTCGGTGTTCTATCCTCGGATCGACTTGAATTCCATCATCACAAAAGTCTGGGGTGGTGCAGTAATAAGCTCTCTGAGCATAAACTGAACAAAACGTTGTTGCTGCAGATGCTAGCTTAAATAAATTAAATTGATTTAATTAAGGTAGCCAAGTCTGGATTCAAGCAATTGTCTTTAGTGTCCGAAACGAAACTACTATTTTGGTCCAATTTTAGTTTCGGCCGAAAATGACTGAGTAGTATGATATGTGTATCTCCAAGACAAAACAAACTCATATAATAATAATAATGTCTTTATCAATCCCTCCACACTG